ATCAGCAATTTGGGCTCTCAGTAAGGAGGTCATCCGATCACTGAAACGACAGCTAACAGGCCTGCTGTAGAGAGGCGATGGTGAGCTCCCGAACACCATTGGCAGGGTAGCTTGGTCATCGGTGGTCCGACCCAAGGACAAGTTGGGGCTGGGGATTCTAGACCCGGACACATAGATCACAGCATTAATGATTCAATGGGTTAGGAGACTGCCCTTCGCACAACATCTCCCATGGTATGCCCTTGCACTGGAACAGATAGCCGGACTCTCTCCACAAGCACCACAGGATGTCAACCCGTTGACCTGGCTAGAAGACCGTTTCTGGACCGTGCCACGGTGCACTCGAGACAGTCGAGGATCGAACAGAGGAACAATCCATAAGGACTTGGCCAGGGACGACTTCTGGGCCAGGGTCTTAAGAGCCTGGCGCCAACTTCCACTTCCTGACAACCCCCCGCCGACGAGATGGGAGGAGGTGATGCGCCAACCCGTTTTTGGAAACAGGAGGATTACAGACCGGTGCGGCAAGGTGTACTGCACCTCAGTCTCCCCGTGGTGCAGTTGGGCCAAAAAAGGCGTAATTAGAATAAAGGATATTTGGGACTCAGAGAAAGGGGACTGGAAAACGGTGACGCAGCTGAAGGTCATATTAAAATACTGTCACAAGGTCGAGGAGAACCTTGAACTGGTGATATTCGCAATTCCCCTAGACTGGGTGCACATCCTGCGCAAAGGGCCGCGACTGGTAGGGGGACTGGCTAATCGTTACGGGGGACTCAGAAAGTGTAGGAAATGTGGTGGACGTACGAACGGACAAAACACTGATTAACCTTTTCCATATAGGCAAAGCCACTAATGTTCTCACTCCGTACACCCCAAAAGTGATGAGATGGGGAAACAATACGGAACTACACAGGATTTGCGGGCTGCGGGACAAGGATATATGGATTGCATATCAGCCAAATACCCCATTGGCAGAGCTCCGTTTGGATCCCGAGGAGGCAGTGGGCACACCCACAATAATGCAGATCTCAGGGGAATGCAAAGTTGTACAACCTGAAGGTAAATGCAACGTACCGACTGCTGCAACCAAAAGTAAACATTAAAGAAAAGGTGAAGGACCGATGGAGGTCCCAATTAAATGTGCCGATTGAGGTTATCTGTCCTATTCAATGGTTCACTGCCACTCACTCGGTACACCCCAGAAGTGATGAGATGGGGAAACAATACGGAACTACACAGGATTTGTGTGCTGCGGGACAAGGATATATGGCCAAATACCCCATTGGCAGAGCTCCCTTTGGATCCCGAGGAGGCAGTGGGCACACCCACAAAAATGCAGATCTCAGGGGAATGCAAAGTTGTACAACCTGAAGGTGAATGCAACGTACCGACTGCTGCAACCAAAAGTAAACATTAAAGAAAAGGTGAAGGACCGATGGAGGTCCCAATTACATGTGGCGATTGAGGTTATATGCCTATTCGATGGTTCACTGCCACAAGGTCTAGGCCAGCAAAGATGGCCTCACTGCACTGGCAGATAGAACAGCGTTGCCTACCCACCAACGACTGGCTGATAGATCGAACCTATCTAGAGCAGAAGGGGCGGGCGCTACCATGGTGTAAATCGTGCGACACTGTCTTCCCCTCCCGCAGAATCCCAGAAACCATAGAACACATATTCATGCAGTGTCCGGGGGCATTAGGATCTGGTCCCAGTTGGGCACTGGGTCAAAGTGGCCTTGGGATTGGAGGGCCATTCTATGCGAGACATGGACCTCCCCCACAGACAATACTTTTGAAAATAATTTAAAATAGGGAGGAGAGCGGTCATATGGACCCTCTGGAGGAAATGTTGTATACATGCCATAGAGGGGGTCCGCATAGCGGAGGGAGAGGTGACAGATATGATAAAACAATATGTTCAACAAGAACTATCGGTACAGTGGCAAAAAGTTAAAAACCAATTGGATCTGTTTCGTTCATCCAAAGATATAACACAAGCAATTCAGCAATTCTCAGGGGACTGGTTGGGCAGTGAGAACGGGGGCTGCATAGCCTCCGTCAGCTGGGACGGCAGGCCTACCAAGGCATGTCACAAGGAAGAGTTCAGAAAAGATTACCATATTTGCTTCAAAGACTGGACATTGGTGGGCCAAGAGATCCCGCTGCGACCATCCACAGAATTTCCGGATTCCTTCCCACCCCACCAGTTGGCAATGGTAGACATGCAATGATATGGAGCAGATCGAGGAGCAAGGACGGAGCATACAGAAGATGCCCAAAGCGTACTCCATTTCATCATATCAGACCTAATACTACCCCTGTGCAGTCAATCCCCTGGAAACAGGGCAATCAATGCTGGCAGGCCTAATGATGTATAGTGGGATCTGGATGCCGGATATGTAATTACAGAATTCTATTCTCTGTTAAAAGGGACGCTGGACCCGGTTTCCGGCAGGTGACGCTCCCCACCAATAGATGGAGCCTGTCCGACAGTACTCAAAGTGTCTGCTCCTATCAGCATCCCTAGTACTTGTCTGAGCTGTTAAAAAAAAAAAGGGAAAAAAAAAAGAAAGAATGTGGGGCCACTATACTCTGCAGTGAACATACGCCTCGAGTTTTCCCAGGGGTTAGATTGGTACGCACATACAGAAGGGCTTAAATAAGTCCTCCACGCATAGAAAAGGCTGTAGGCACGTCCCTGTGAGAGAAATAGAACAGTGATTGATACATGCTCAGTTGAGAGATGTAGATGGAGCCAAGGATAAGCAAAGTGATGAAAAGGACTCGAATGGACAATGCAGTGTCAGCAAAGCATCAACAAGCAATGTACATCCAGATACATATGAAAATAGCACAATGTAGCACAACGGAAGACTCAAAGATATGACGTGACCTGTCAGATACTGACGCGACACCCCATCATACACCACACATGTTAGAGAGAGAGGAGGAACCGCATACATAGAAGAGAGGTCCCTCATTGATCACGCACATGGGGAGATACCACCGATGCGGAGATGGGAAGGAGAGGCGAGACAAAGATGGAGGTGAGGGAGAAGACGAAGATCGCGATAGCGAAGTCCAAAAATAGTCTCCCTGCCGAATGTCCAATCAATGTCTGCCACAAAAATGTTGAATTAGATCCTGGGCTTCATGCTCGATGTAACCTCTGCCTGTAACTTCTCTCTATCTCTATCTGAAAGAAGAAGAAGAAGAAGAAGAAGAAGAAGAAGAAGAAGAAGAAGAAGAAGAAGAGGGAAGGAGGAAGGAGGAGAGATGGAGGGCGAGAGCAAGGAGAAGAAGAAGATTACGTTTTCCTCGCTATCTCACATGCAGGTAACTGCCGCCATGTACTAACTGTCGCCGCGTGTCCCCTCTGTGCTGCAGGGCGCTGGGCAAAGACCAGCTATGGCGCCCAGGTAAGATCTCCGCCGACGCAAGTATGGCCTCCACCTCACTGCCTACCTACACCTCTACCTCTAGCGTAGTGCTGTCGTGCTGCTCCAGCAGAGTGTCACCCAAGAAGTGAGCTACTCGAACTGTGTGTCTGCCCCGGCCTGGCCCGGCTATATGTAGCACTGGGCCTCGCCGGTGTGCCCCTGGCCTGAAATGGCCTACTCGGTCTGGGTCCCGACTGGACGTCCAGACCCTCCCTGCCGATGCAGCACGGACGTCCACTACTGGACAAACACAAACCTGGCCCACAAGGGCCTGCCTGCAAACGTAGAAGGCCAAAAACGTGGTCTTCGTCCGAACAGACCGAAAGTCTGTTCGGACGAACTGCAAGTCTGAAACGACGCCAGTACAGACAAAAATAGGACAGCAAATAAAAAAATGAATAAATGAATGCTGCCTCAAATCGAATCCTGCGGCCCTAAGGCCGACCGTGGGCCTCCAAGGCACATGTCCAAAGGGCGTGCGGCCGGGGGGCCCCCAGCAACCGTCAGGCCCCCGAAACGGGGCCCGTGTGCAGGCTCAGCATGTAACAGTGATCCAGGAGAGTGATGATGTGAGAGCAGGTTGAGAGGAGGTTGCAGTTGAGTGATGGAACTCAAGGCAGCGAGGAGGAACGAAAGGAGCGCCGGTACGAAAGCACAAAAAAAAGGAGAACTAGCAAGAGGACATGTTTCACGGCACAGGGAAGGAAGAAGAGCAGGGAAAGGTGGAAGCGAAAAAGGATACAAGGAAACAGCAAAGAAGAAAACAGGGGAGGGAAAACAGGAGAGAAAGCCAAGAAGCGCAGCAGCAGCAGCAGAAAAAGGAGTAGGAGAGAGGAGGAAGACGAGGTGGAGATGGAGGGAGGGAGGGAGAGAGGGGCATGAGAGGAGAGGATAAAAAAAAGAAGAAGCAAGAGGAGGACAACAGTGAGAGAGGAGCTTTAAAGACACCCTATGGTAATGCGTACTTGATGCCCATATGAGAGGAGGAGAAAGAAGGGGGGGAGGAGATAAAAAGGTCCGCGTATTGGATGACCAGGTGGAGAGGGAGTGAACCAAAAATGAAGGATTTGTACGGCTGGCACATCGCGGCAAGTTCCAGGATCAGGTGAAGAGAAGAAGAAAAATGGTCGGGAGGTACGTGGGTCATCGCCTTTCCTTCGATTTTTCCTTTGGGAAGAGGGTGGGGTGGGGGGGGGGAGCGGAGGCCCATCATTTGCCAACCTGTTGTTCCTTACAGGTCAACTGATCAGCATGCTAGGACCACCACGCTAGCGCCCACCCAAAACAACAGTCAACAGCGCAAGATCGCTGGATGGATGATGGCCACCCGTAATTGAATGTCAGAAGACAGCCAACATCCAATCACAGCAGAGAGGCAGACCTATTCATCCCCTCCCCACATCAGCTCCCATTCATGCATTTGTGCTCCGCCCTTTCCCCTGCCCCCTTAAAACTGAGCAGATGACAGCACAAATGCAACATGCAGGCATGAAAGAGGAAAGCGGGAGGAGAGATGTCAACCTGGATAAAAGCGGGAATGACCAGTTACCAAACCTGATTGATGTAGTCCCACCAGCGGAATTCAGACTCCAATTTATTCCTAACAACATTGTAAAGCAGGCTCGGGTAGAATAATGCGCGAGCTCCAGCTCCAATTAGAAGCCTCGTAGCCATGTTTATCACAATATCTCCAATTTCTGCACAAAAAAAAACACCACCACCATCACCACCATAAGACTCCCATAAGACTTCCACAGAGCAGCTTCCACACCAAACAAACAACACAAAATTGGTTGAACGACGAGACCCTTTTAACCCCACCGAACCAGAAGAGGACCAAGATTTGGCATCTTCAAAAGAATCTGTTGAACATGACCTCATTGCGTTCGTATTGACCCGCCACCCCTCCTCCAGTTCGGGTGGTCAACCTTAGCGCACAGCTCTGTAACCATCATCATCATCGCCGTCATCCTCATCCTCATCCTCATCCTCATCCTCAGCCTCAGCATCCTCATCATCACCACAACCAACACCACTGGCTGCTTAGATGTCGCCAAAATATGAGAATCAGTGAACAGATCCGTGCCTCCTCAGCCACCAACATCCTGTGCCTCGTCATCCTCATGCGGCTGCTGATCATTACAATAGTATGGTCCCTTCCGCAGGTCCCATCTGCAACAAATGCAGAAATTAACTTGTAGGGCTACTTAGCACCCCTCTGTTTTATTAAAAAATAAATCAATTTAGAAATTGGAATAAAGGTACACCCTTCTGAACCCCTTTGAACCCAATCTGTAACCCCCAGCAAAGGGGCATTCTGAGTGCTCAGGCTGAGCACAGAACCAGCCCAAAGTTAATTTTCTTGTCTAAATTTCCTTTTTAAAACATGTGTGCCCCACCTTTGACCCGAGCCCGGGTCGTGCGTCCGCATCCGGTCTTGGCCTCTGAGGCCCCTGCTGCCCAGCTTAAACCACCACTCCCCCCGCCAGCCTAAATGCAGGGGGGGAATGGTAGCACAGGTTCAAGAGGGCTACCGGTAGCACGGTGGGGAGAACCAGGGGAGTGGCAAAAATGGAAAATGCCTCGAATTGCCGCTGCAATTTATCTCGTGGCCTAAATTATTTTTTCTATTTTTTAAAATATTTTTCCTGGAACGAACGCGACCAAATCTACTGACCCTTCAATTTTCAGATTTCTTGACACATTTTTTTTGTCGTGAAAAATCGCTGAAGTTGAGGTACCTTTCCCGTTGGCCCACACGTGGTAGAGCGGCAAAAATGGAAAATTAGATAAATCCGCGCGGCATTTATTTCATGCTCTAATTTTTATTTGTTATTTTAATATTTTTCCTGGCAAGACCACGACCAAAT